CCATGACATGGCAATGCCCTTGTTGATAAAGGCTTACCATTCCCTTCCCCCGGAGAGGACTGTACATGCCCTGAAAGCTCACTCAAGAGTAGAAGAGCTACTGAGTTATGATGCTCTTACAGAGTCTCAGCAGCAAGCCTTGACTATACTTCACAGTTTGACTGCTTCTCCTACAAGCACTTAACTATCAACAGCCTAAAAAATTATGTCTTTCTGGAATAATCCTACTGCATTAGTATATACAAAATTGTAAAACAAATAAAATGAACAGGATATTTTATTAGTCATATTTTTTTTTTCTGTCATGAGGCACAGAATTGAGATTTATATATTTTTTAACAGTTCTTTAGATAAAAGTTTTGAATGATCCCAGTGGATTTAGCTTTTTTTTTTTACCTGGAAATTTTCCACCAAGTTGGGTGCCCTCCAAAAAACTCATTTATTTCATTTATACAGTAGCTGTGTAGCCAAAAGGACACAAAAATCACAGTTCAAATTGTCTTGAACTTTTTTGGTAGAATAATTTAGGGGAGAGGTAAGAGAGGTTTTAATTGCTAGGGGCTTGAACATCAGACAGGCTTGTATGAGCATGTTAGATCAGAGTGAAGACAAGCGGACTTTATGGCTTGATGTGTAAGCAAGTTAGCATTTATGAAGGGATTCAAGGAAGCGAGCTGGACTTGAATCTGAGAAGTAGGAAGTACAGTGCTTGCAATTAAAAGAAGTGGGGTGAGGATGTTACTGTTTGGAGAGTTATCTGAACTTTGATGTTAGCACAATTCTGGCAAGGCAGTGATTGAATGAGTGATGGTATATGTTATTTTTTGGGGGAGGTCACTTTATCTCAGTAGGAGATGCCTGGTGTGTTAAATAATAAGCAAAGAGACCAATAAAAGATCCTGCTCTGTACAGGACATAATAGAAGTTTCAGTGACATTACTACAAATGTAAGGGAGAAAACAAATATTCATCATTTAATTAATAGGCTTGGATTAACAGATTTTTTTTGTGAACTATATAATGTACTGAATTCAGTTTACTTTTTTAATGAATAAATTTTAAATGTTCTTTAAAATTAATAGCTAATGTCATCATCAGATTGGGCATATGCTCAGGTGCCCAGTGGAATTAATAAGCAAAAGGTATATATTTTATACCTTATACCTTATACCTTATACCCTGCCTCGGTGGGAGACGGCCGACTTGTTGAAAAAAAAAAAAAAAAATATATTTTATTTGCATCATTCTATTTTCCTTAATCTTGAAAAAATTCCATACTACATTCAACAACTTTCAGAGCAGTCTCCCAGGTTACCTATCATCCATTGCCATTATTGGGACGATGGTGAAGTGGTGAATATCTTCGGCTTTCCTGAGGCTAATATTTGCCACTTTGCGCCACTCTGCACTGAATGAAAAGATTTTCCTCACAATGACTACTTGAACTTTGAAATTAGATCATAGTCACAGGGGCTGACATAGGAGAATAAAGTGGGTATTCCAACACTTCAAGATAGAACAATGCAGATAAAATGAGTGTTTTTTTGCTAATCTACTCTCTCTACATCTGTGCATGTGCCTGATCTGATTCAGTCATTTTGGTGCTCATTTTTATGAGCTCTTAAATGTATACTATTTTGAATTTGCAGTAGTTTTCTCAGTAAAAAATAGTTACCAGGATTCATGAAATGACTTTCATATTTGATTAATCTCAACTGTAAAGTCTTTCATTTTCAGAGATAAACCTAATCAGTAATGGAGAAGTAGCACTTCAGATAGATAGATAAGTTGGTAGACAGCAACCACCCAGGGAGGTACTACCGTCCTGCCAAGTGAGTGTAAAACTGAAGCCTGTAATTGTTTTACACGATGGTAGGATTGCTGGTGTCTTTTTTTTTTCTGTCTCATACACATGCAAGATTTCAGGTACGTCTTGCTACTTCTACTTACACTTAGGTCACACTACACATACATGTACAAGCATATATATACACACCCCTTTGGGTTTTCTTCTATTTTCTTTCTAGTTCTTGTTCTTGTTTATTTCCTCTTACCTCCATGGGGAAGTGGAACAGAATTCTTCCTCCGTAAGCCATGCGTGTTGTAAGAGGCTACTAAAATGCCGGGAGCAAGGGGCTAGTAACCCCTTCTCCTGTATATATTACTAAATGTAAAAGGAGAAACTTTCGTTTTTCCTTTTGGGCCACCCCGCCTCGGTGGGATACGGCCGGTGTGTTGAAAGAAAGGAAAGATTCATGAAATGACCTTCATATTTGATTAATCTCAACTGTAAAGTCTTTCATTTTCAGAGATAAACCTAATCAGTAATGGAGAAGTAGCACTTCAGATAGATAGATAAGTTGGTAGACAGCAACCACCCAGGGAGGTACTACTGTCCTGCAAAGTGAGTGTAAAACGAAAGCCTGTAATTGTTTTACATGATGGTAGGATTGCTGGTGTCTTTTTTCTGTTTCATAAACATGCAAGATTTCAGGTACATCTTTCTACTTCTACTTACATTTAGGTCACGCTACACATGCATGTACAAGCATATACTGTGGACCCTTGGCTGACGATATTAATCTGTTCCTGAGAGCTCAACGTTAGACAAAATTATCGTTAGCCGAATTAATTTTCCCCATAAGAAATAACGGAAATCCAATTAATCCGTTCCAGACAGCCAAAAATATTAAAAAATTTTTTTTTTTTTCATGAAATATACATTTCCCTACAAAGAAAGCAATGAGACATGGACAATAACTATATAAATAAATGTTAAAATAACACTTAGCTTTATTGAAGAGTATTGATGAGTGATGAGACACTGTTTTTCTTGAACACTCTGGGATTTTCAGAGTGATACATGAGTAAAGGCTTCACTTTGCAATCCCCACTAGCATTACAACAAAACAAGAAAGTTAGCCTGTCTTTCATAGGCTTGTGTCCTGGGAGTGCCTTTTCCTCCTGAGTAATGTAGGTCCTGATTGGCATTGTCTTCCAGAACAGGCCTGTTTCGTCACAATGGAACACTTGTTGGGGTTGGAATTTTTCAGCTTCGCCATGCCTTATCACACTGTGTATGCCACTACGATTCTTAAATCTCTCAAACCAACCTTTGATGGCCTTAAATTCATCAATATGAGCACTAGTTTCAGGCATTTTTTCCTGTTCACCTGGGTGTTAGTTGACTGGTGTGGGTTGCATCCTGGGGGACAAGATTAAGGACCCCAATGGAAATAAGTTAGACAGTCCTCGATGACTCACTGGCTTTCTTGGGTTATCCTGGGTGGCTAACCCTCTGGGGTTAATTGTTTTTTGGTAATTGTTTCACATTAAGCCAAACTAACAACAGTCTCTCCACATCTTCGAGTAGTACAGCTGACGGTGGTGCAACAACAGCTGACGGTGGTGCAGCAGCAGCTGACCGTGGTACGGTAGTATTTCAATAGTATTTCTCACCCTTTTTACCACAGGGTTGGCACTAGAAGCATTCTTTGGGCCCATGGTGGCTTATTTAGCAGTTACAAGCACTATAAACAATGGAATAATACAAAATGTATCAAATGTATGCATGAAACCGGCCACCCTGGCTTGTAAACAATGACGGCAGGGCAGCTGAGGCGCTTGGGTTGGACGGATAGATTCGGGATGAATCACGTTGGGCGGGGTTTTTTTTATCGTTAGCCAGGCCAAAATTTTTACGCTCAAACGCTTCGTTGGGCGGATTTAACGTTATGCGATGCGTTCGTTAGCCGAGGGTCCACTGTATATATACACCCTTCTGGGTTTTCTTCTATTATTCTTACTAGTTCTTGTTCTTGTTTATTTCCACTTATCTCCATGGGGAAGTGGAACAGAATTCTTCCTCCGTAAGCCATGCATGCTGTAAGAGGCAAGTGAAATGCCAGGAGCAAGGGGCTAGTAACTCCTTCTGTATATATTACTAAATGTACAAGGAGAAACTTTCGTTTTTGTTTTTGAGCCACCCTGCCTCGGTGGGATATGGCCAGTGTGTTGAAATAAAAGAAAAGAAAGATATATGTATATATACGTAGTTGTTATTGTTTATAGTTGCTCTTAGAGTTATAGAAATGTTAATTATATGTTATTATAACATTAAATTTATACAGTATAAACACGTTAAGTTCCAGAGAATAAGTTGGAATTGATGCGAGTTACTAAGGTGTCTGCTTCAACTTGTCTTCTCCCTTGTACAAGTGTGCAAATTACAGTAGAGCATGTTTAGTGCCTTTTTTTGATGATACTAATAATAAACAGTAAAGCATCAATAATCTAGACTGCTTGGGAGCATACAGTGTCCAAATTGCTGATCATTGTTAATACTATATAGCATATGTATGAGCATCACAATAATGCAATAGTTTACAAAATAACATTAATGTAACTGTATATAGTTAACAATCCTGCTTATCTCCACTTCCTGCTTACAGGAACCAAAATTACACTCTGCTGTTATCTCTCCCATCTCAGGCTATAATTTATTGTATTCTTCAGATCCTTTTCCTGATGGGACCTTTAATGAAAGTGCCCTCCTTCTACGCACTGATATTCCGTACCATCAGCTATTTGTTCGTACCTCGCTGCATTACACAGCAGCCCGTATCCACTTGCATAGATGGTATACGCTCTGTTCTTTATATCTCTCTCCTTCTCGGGCATTATCCATTCCGGATATTGCCTTTCTTGTTTCGTCATTACCGCCACCGATTTAATGCCCACCACTTCCTCTGGGGGGGTGGGGGTCTCACTGTGATTCCCGTGGCATTCAGTTAGAGGCTTTTCTTGCCACCCACCCCCTCCATGTTTTAAATACAGGTACTCACACCCATTTTGATCCTCGGACTCACACTCTCTCTTGCATCAATCTCTCAGTCTGCTCTTCCTCTGTCGAATTAGACTTCACTTGGTCTGTTCTCCCTGACTTACATGACAGTGATCATTTCCCAATCATTCTTACTTCCCCTTCATATTCACCACCTCTTCACATCCCACGCTGGCAATTTGATCAGGCAAATTGGAACCTTTACTCACACCTAATTGTTTTTAGAGAGGTTCCTTCTTCGTCCTCCATCGATGAGCTTTTACACCTCTTCTCGTCCTCCGTTTTAACCGCAGCTTCTAATTGTATACCCCAAACTTCGGGCAGGCATTCTCAGAAATGCGTGCCTTGGTGGTCTCCTGCTTGTGCTCGTGCAGTACGTTTGAAACGCGCTGCATGAGGCAGGTACCGGTACAATAGAACCACGGAGAGACTTCTTGATTTTAAGCAGAAGCGTGCGATCGCTCGCCGTGTCATCCGTGATGCTAAACGCACTTACTGGCGAGATTATGTCTCCACCATCACCTCTGCTTCC